TAGCTGGGGAACTGTCCCTCCCAGGTGATCTTGGCTGTTCACCTCCAGGTTAGAAGTTCTTCACAGCACCCTCTGGCTTTGGAGACTGCACCTTCACCCAGCCCAAATTTCCTGATACCAGATGTGGACACTTGTTTGTAGGCGGAGTTTTCCTGTGCTGTGGCCCCTTCCCAAATAACCAACACAGACACTCAATATTAACTACAAATGCTCGGTCTGTAGCTCAGGCTGTTACTAGCTAACTATTCCACTTCTCCCACATTTTTTTACCGATTGCTTTGCCATGTGGCTTCGTACCTTTTTCTCAGTACAGTGTACCCATCCTGCCCTCTCTGCATCTGTTGATGACTCTCTTACTTCACCCTTCTTCCTCCCACTATCCTCAGTTTGATTGTCCTGTCTAACGTTACCCTGCCTTGCTGTAGGCCAATCAGCTTCTTTATTAACCAATGAGAATAATACTATTCACAGTGTACAGAGGATTACTCCACAGCACTTGTTGGCTTGGAAACAGTAAATAAGAAAGGAGCCAAACATCACAAACAAAATAGGCAACACTTCACTGAAAGTATTGCTCCTGAGCAACTGGAAGCCAGCGCTGATCACAGAGTTGACCAGGTTGCTTGGTAAATGAAGGAAGAGGCAAGCATTGTATTCAGCTGCGTGAGTCTAGAATTTTCCATTAGTCGTGGACATGAGTTCAGAAGATTCCTTTCTTCTTATGCACTAAAAACCTAGCTTTTTTATACTTCATCGATTGCCAGAATCAAGTTGTCCCAGGGATTACTGAGTTGCCTTTACTGCTGACACATTGTTGCCGTGAACAGATATCTGTAGTTAGTGTAGACCTTTTGCAACAGGAGTTGTTGCCATTGTCTTGAATCTGATGCTTCCAATTTTCTTGAAATTAAAACACACCCACTTTTATCTGTACCCCTTGCCTGAGGTTACTCACCAGACCCTTTTAGGTCCTGATGCCAGGGTGCCAGTTGTGAACCCCTGACCGCATCCTCGGAGCTTGGTTGACATTTCTAGTCTTTACAGTGAAAAGAAAACTATTAGGGTACTACGGCATTCAACTTCAAACGAGCTTGATAGAAATCATAATTACCAAATGTAATGCCCCACTTATTCATCATGCATTACTTTCAACTATCCCATATAGCAGCTCTTTTGTTTCCCCATAAAAATCCATATCTGGCTAAAGGTCGAAAAATATAATACAATGTTTCCTAGCCAGCCTGCACCCATGTGGGTTGGAGATGATTACAGGCATAGTTCTTGTTCATTGTTAATATAAGTGTGAAGATCGAGTGTGTAGGGTCTGCTCTGCTGTTGTTATTGGTTTTGAGCACAGATGCTTTTGTTTTTGCTATGATGCTATTTATTTAAAATGTTTATCCCAAGAAATATATACATTATGAGAGAGAGAGAGAAAGAGAGAGAGAGAGAGAGAGAGAGAGAGAGAGAGAGAGAGAGAGAGAGGTAACAGCACTAAACCAGGCACCTTCAACCGAATGACATCCTCGCTATTCCCTGCATGCTACCCTCTTGTCGATGACCGGAAGACTTCAGGAGCCCACGGGCAGCCAGAATAGTTCCCACCCAGGGCTTCCCACAGTCCCGGTTCTAAAGGCATTTCCCAGTGGAAAAGCTCAGGTGGACATTTTAGCCTAAAGGAAGGGGTTGTGACCCAGCTCTAGGATCTCTCTCCAGAAGATACTTTCTGCGCACCCGCTCTCCCCAATTCCCCAATGCTCTACCGGGACTGACTGCTGGCTTTAGTTTGCTCCCTGGAAGATGAGCCCAGTTCAGCTCAGGGCTATTGCATCCTCGGCCCTCTTGGTGACCACACAACTCCAGGAGACCTCCAGGACAGAAGGAGCAGGCACGGAGAGGCACTAGCCACAGAGACCAGGGAAGGCTCAGGCGCCAAGTGGAGGCGAGGGGTGGTGTCTGGGGTGACCTGAACAAAGCCGGTTAGCATTGCCACTGCCCAATCTTGTCCTGGACTGACTATAGTCGGACACATGATGGGAGACAGTGGGAACTCGGATCCGTTCCCGCCAGGCTATGGCACTGGCTGAGACAAACACACCTTGCAAAACCCAGAAGCTGCCATGGAGCGCTAGAGCAGGAGGAAAGCAACAACTAGATCATTTTTCAGATGCCTTTATTTTTGTAGACCTAGATTCCTTTTACATAAAAAGCCCAAAATTTGCCCAAAGTGACAGATTGGCATTCCATTGAAACAGTTGAAGACAGGCAATTCACAAAGCAAGAAATGAGAATGACATGCCTTTTACATTTATTTAAAATATTCTGAATAATTGGTATTTTAACTATTTATGAGTCTCCAACACTATGTTTTAACATAGGAACTACAGTGGATTGGAAATAGAGTTCTGTTTTATAATCACAACTTGGGAAATTTCAAAGTATCAATATCTGTCATGGCAAAAATATATAGAAGAGTAGAATTTAGGTAAAGGCTAAGTTTCTTCAAAATATTATCTAATGAGGTTCATATTTGGCCTAGAAGTGGATGAAGGATGGGCACCTGCATTTGAATGAAGATTATATTATTCATTATAATTCAGTTCCCTTTTCATTGCCCTGTGGTGACTAACTGCCCAAACGACCCTGGGTTTTTCCTAAACTATTTGTGTTTCTGAATTTGCATATTCAGTGATATCCTCTTTGAATCTTCCTATGATTTAGTCATTTCCCCCCCCCCCCAGCTAACTCATCAGGCTAACATGTCACACACAGGGAGAAAGATATGACAGTCATCCAACTCATTTATTTCTTGCTTTTAGAAAAGGTGTGTGTTTTGGGGGTAAGTCAAGTCAGAGCAGTTAGATGTTATTTGAAGTAGTTGGAACAAGATAACAAGGAAATCTTAATATTTTATGAGTTTTAGTGATCAAAGTCATTGTTAATTTGGGCCTCCATATAATGGGTGTTTTTCACATAGACATCTCAAGACATAATTTCAGGAAATTTATAACATTTCTTGCTTCTCTTAAAAATTATTTATAAATTACCTATGATTTATTTCTAGAGTTTTCCATACAATATTTTATACCTGAGATTCATGTAGGTTACTGAAACTACAGCACATAAGGTAAGGGTCCAGGGCTGTTGGACATGTAAAATCCTTGGATTACTGAGATTAATGAGGGGCCCTCCTAGCTTGAGGATATTTGGTTGCGAGGGGAACCAACAAACCTTGTGAATCAAGGCATTCCTAAGGGAAGGGGGAAAGATTGATAAACCAATAGTCAATGATACAATAATCAATTTGTCTGTATTAATGAGGGGCTTAGGGTTTAACACTTCTAGATAAATGAACAAATTGAGGTTTTGGAAAATGGTGTACCATTTATGGGCCTGTGTGTCAGCTCCTCTGGCCATTCATCCCTGTGCTTTGTAATATCCTTAATGCTTGCTTTAGTTTTGCAATCTAGAAAACCAATTGAACCCAAAGGGAAGGCCATAGGAACCCTGACTTAGAGAGGTTCAGCCAGAAACTCAGGCCACTACCTACGGCTTATGGTTGGTATCTAAAGTAGAGCAGTTTTATGAGACTGCACTTAACTGGGGGACCTGAAGAATTTTTTAATAATGACAACATCCTTGTGTTTACATAATTACAAAGCTCAAATACAAGGAGATCAGGATCAAAAGCTTCATAAAAGGACTCTTGAAGTTGGGGAGATGACACAGAAGTTAAGGGCATCTAGTGCTTTTCCAGAGGATCTGAGCTCAATGCTCAGCACCCATTTTGGGAAAGCTCACAACAGCCTGTTAACTTCAGCTCTTGGGGATCTGATGCCCTCTTCTGTCACCCACCCACACACACACATAATTGGAAATAAAATATAATCTTTTTTAAAAAAGATTTTTGATTTGATAGTTAAACATATCATTACTTAGAAATAACTGGAATAATGAATGAAGAACATTAGACAACATTGGTACTCTAAAATGTGGTACCTGTCAAAGTAATAGTAAATCAGTTAGATGTGGTGCTACACACCTGTAATCTCAGCACTCAGGCAAGAGGATGGCAAAGTTGAAGCCACCTGGAATACATAGAAAGACTTGTCTAAAAACCAAACAGAAGTTACTTTTCCCTTAAAATGAAAAAGCTACATAAACAGATGAACTAATGTAAAAAAGTATCTTTTAAAATAAGTATTTGCTGTGTGTTTGTGTGTGAGTGTGTGTTTGTGTGTGAGTGTGTGTGTGTGTGTGTGTGTTGTACCACATGCATGCAGGTGTCTAAGGAGGTGAGATGAAGTCAGATTTCTGGAAATTGGAGTTGCAAGTAGTTGTGAGACACTGCACATGGGCACTGAGAACAATACCTGCATCCTCTGTAAGAGCAGCAGGCGTTCTTAACCATTGAAGCATCTCTCCAGTCCCCAAAATGTATTTTGTAAAAAGAACTTATGAGAAAAATACAACCATAAGTGAACTATAAAATATAAGGAGGGCCTCTGATATGGATAAAATATAAGGCAACCTGTGAAAGGAGTCATGGTGGGTTACAAAAGATGGTGACTTGGGGGATGTGGATGTAGTTTAGTGCTAGAGCACTTGCTGGGCATGCAAGACACCTGGACTTACTGTTCAGTACTACAGAAGGAAAAGGAGAGAGAAGAAAAGAGACAAAGAGGACAGGAAGTTTATGATGACGAATCTTTTCTTTCCTACAGTAGTCTTTAATGATGCGCCTTTACAATATATAGAACCAATGAGGAGGAAATTAAAACCAACTCTTTCATATGAAGAACATTATTCTTTACATTTTTTTAAACACATGCGTCCTATTCATTACCTTCTGAATTTTCTAAGTGTAAATGTCATAGGTTTGCAAGAGATGGTCTAAACAGCTTTTCTTGCCATTGAAATTTGCATGCTGCAGTACTTTCCCATCAAATTACATGCAAAAGAACTAAAAGCATTTCCTCTGTCTTCCCTGTTTTTCTTAGGCATTGCCATAGGAGTCTTGGTTCGTGGACACAGTGAGCTCTCAAATCTGGATAAATTCTACTTTGCTTTTCCTGGAGAAATTCTAATGAGAATGCTGAAACTTGTCATCTTGCCATTGATTATATCCAGCATGATCACAGGTACCTTGTGTTCTCTGTTATTTAAGGAGCCCGTGTGAACCTGGGCTGTTCTTTACTAACTATGGAAAAATCAAAATGCATTAGGTGCATCATACAGGCAGATACACACATACATACACGCACAGATTGAGAGAGAGAGAGAGAGAGAGAGAGAGAGAGAGAGAGAGAGAGAGAGAGAGCCTGCCTGCATTTGCAAACATATTCTCTTGACTTGAAATGTAATGGGACACTCAAAGTGTCACTGCGTCATTGTGTTACTGTCCCTCAAACCTTTGTTTGTCCAACATGTGATGTCTTGTGTGCAAGATGCCATTTTTAAACATATTATGAATAAAACTCTGTCTAGGACACAGAATGGGGAAATGCATATTTGGCCTTGGAAATGTCAGCTTATGTCCTTGGGAAAAACACAGTCGTCAGTTTTGATCATATTTTCCATAGCTGGCTCCCAGCTCCAGCTCTCCTGCTCACTAACTTCTGGGCAGCTGTCCTGAGGGGCCTCACCTCTTGACTCCTCACCCCCTTCTCCTCACAGAGCTCAGCACTAGCTATGTACCTGCCCTGCAAGTCTGCCATGGGGTCAGCAGCCAAGAGCAATGGAAAAGGTTTAAGTTAGAGTTTGCCTCCTAGTCTAGAGTACTAGTGTTTTTAAATCTGCACTTACAACACAGATTTGGAAATGGTTTTTCTCTTACAGATCTTTATATCACTGAGTTCCTTCAAACAGCAACAAACATGCTTATGGAGAGAGTAACTTGATTTATTTTTTAATGCCATTTTTCTGGAGTTGGTATGCTGCTGTGTGTTTCTGTGCTACTTTAATTCTGCCACTTGGTAAAATGTGCCATGATGTCTCTCACTCACTAGTGCTAAGATTTTATGTAACTATGCAATTAGGAGTCTTGACATGTCCTCCTTCCAGAACTCTCTTCCCAATGTTATGGCAAAGGCTCAGTCTGTTGAGTATGATATTAGAGGTGCTAAGAGTGTCAGTGTTTGCTGTCATCAACTGCATTCTCTGAAAACCTGTCACAGATGCCTATTCCCAAGTGCCAGACTCCAGTCAGACCAGAACCCTATGGGACCATTTTTCTTAAGTGACCTTGGTGTTCTTGGCTTATTAGAAGCCTAAAGAGAACATTTAATTACTTTTATTTATGGGTTTAATTATGGTTAAAAATTACTGGTTTCTTTTAAGCCTAATGGCCTGAGGGATAGGGATGATGGGACAGAAGATCTGTTACTTGTCTCATATAATGTTTGCTTGTTTAAATTATTGAAAGCATTTAAATTTTGGAAGATTTCTTGTAAGTACACTGGGCCCATGTTTCCCCACATTAATAGTGGCCTGGAGCAAGAGACAATTGTTCAATTTAGCTGTCATAACTGCATTTGAGGACTCCAAAGTCACCAGCCACCATTCCCTATTCTGTGTTCTCTTATTGCTTGCCTGGCTCTTGTAAGCCCTTGTAAGCACAGCAGCTATAACTTAGAATTTTCTCCCTATTGGAGATTCTTAAATCGATTCTTGTACTCTTTCAGACAGTATGAAGTCTTGGGCTTTTCTCTCAAGAAAAATACATTTGTACATATGCAGAATATTTTGCATGTATCTATACAAAGCTTATGTGTGACATGGTTTGATTCTTCTGGTTTATGAGGAAAGCAAAAAACAAAAAGCAAGCCAAAAATCCTAATCCAGAGTAGAAAGCAAACTCAGAATTTATATAGTAAGCCAAGGTTTAGAAGAAAGGGTAAAAATATGTGTATGAATATACTACTTCTATAATAGTATATTTCTTAACAGTAAAAATCTCTTCCAGATTTGCGGTCTGGAAGTTCTGGTGTGTAGCTTGGCCTTGAAAATTATGTATGGGGAGAATTTACAACTCTCAGATACCATGAGTAGCCCAGCTCTGTTTCAACATCAGCCCACAGCTCTCCACTTTACCTTTTCCAATCGCCAGGAGCTAGAGCGAACACATGCCTCCTTCTTTTGCTATAAAACAACGAAAGGTCAAAGACTTGAGCAACATCAGCAAAGGCAGGGCTAGGAGGTCCATGCCACATTCATGTGTCTAATCTTTAGGTTAGTGGGGGAGAGTGTTGGCAGGAATGTAGGGGAGAAAACTTACTTATACCTTTTTCTGTTACCATGTCAACTTAGATGTACTCTGGAAGGCAGCAGGGAGCATGTTCGGACATTTCATTTTATCGTAAAAGGGCATATTCATAGAGATCCATCCCAAGACCCAGGTACAGGACGGTCCTGATAGTGTTTTCATAATGACAGTGTGAAAGGATGTTACATATGTAAGTTAGCATGTGGCAACTGCTAAAGGCTTAGTTGGATACAACCAGATGGCCCATGAGAATGTACAAAAGAAACAACACAAGAGACATTGTGACATTCTGGACTGTATTATATAGTAGTAGCATTTTTAAAAGTTGACCCAAAACTAAAAGATTAACAGCCTTTCAATGAGAATAGAAATAAAACATGATCTATTGTGCTTTCTTCACATTTCTGAGGTGAACATGATATTTTTGTTACACCGTTTCTTTGCATTGTTTTGTATTTTCTTCTTATGTTTAAGAAGGAAATCAGAGTGGATGGGTTCTCCACTGTGTGTTTCAGACTCTGCCTCTGCTAGTCTGCTGCCTCCTTCTCTTCCCCCGCTCCTTCTCCTGCCAAAGCAATGCCACTTTTACCCTGCCATGCCAATCCTGCACGCTTCTTTGCCTCTGCACCCAGAGATAAGGTGATCCCATTACAAAAACCTTTCCCAAGTGGGGGCTTGGGATGGGAGGTTCAATAGCAGGAAGTGTCAGGGAAGCTGTGGGTTGGGAGCAGGGGGTTGAATCAGTTCTCTGGTAATAGGTAGAGGCAGAAGAATTGCTAAGACTAAGATCCAAGACCAATAGAGTGAGCTCCTGCAGGAAAAAACAACAAGAAAAAAAAACTAATTTGTCATCAAAGTCTTTTGGGAATAAAAATGTGTATTTTGTAGTTTTTTTTGTTTGTTTGTTTGTTCATTTGTTTTACATCGAGCATCCTTCTTAGTGATGTGTGGTTAGTAAATCATATTTATCAGGGAAATTTGAATTTAGACTTGCTATTAAGAGGTATGAGGTGACTGTTAATTATTTAGTCAAGAGATGATATGCAGGTTTATGAACAAAATTTCCATGTTTTCTAAATGCATATGGAACTATGTAGAGGTGAACTGACACAAAATCTCTGGGGTTTGGGGGAGCTGGGCATGGTATAGTGGCCACATTCCAGAGACAGGATGTCATAGGAAGCCAGAATTCTCACCATGATTACCCCATGGAGATGGGGGCATATGCCCTTTGAAAGTTTTGGTTTTTAAGCTAGGTTCTATGAAACTACTAGGGAAGTCATGGGGAAATGATGGAGCTGCCTGGGAACTATGGCTCTTTGAAAACCCAGGAATAAGGTCGCTTCAGTACAGTCTGATGGCTGGAGCTTACCACCACCAGCACACGAAAAGATCAGCTTTTCCCATCCCACTCCAGGATCCCAAGGCTCTTTTTCCTGGATGCTCTTAGTGGTAACTAAGGTGCAGTTGTGCTCCATTAGGCACAGCCATGCCCCCTGCTGTCTGCTGTGGCTGCCATCACACCTCTGGTCCTGATAAGGTTCCCCTTCACTCCTCCATCTAATCAAGGAGCTTAACAATTCTCCATAGGGCCAAGCATTGCCAAGGACTTCGGTGGCATAATTAGAAGCAACGAGACACCAGTATCCAGTCACTCCCAGAATGGGCTCTTCAGGGTCTATGCTCCTCAATAGGGCTCCTGTCTGCTTAGCCACCCTGCTTCCAAGACAGCGGGGAAGCTTCTGCCTCTGCATGAGAGTGTTCCAACATGGCACACCTTGGGCCCAACACCTGATTGTAACAAGAAAAAGTTTCATCACCACCCAAACTCCTGTCCCAGGAAGTGTGCTCTCTTCCTGCGATATGTGCCATCGGAGACCATCCACCTTAGAGAAAGCCTCCTTTGTTGCCTAGAAGGGTTGGTCTTTGCTTGTGAGCCCCTTTGAAGTATGTAACCCTAGTACCTGCTGGGTTGCTAGATATCCATTCAGGCAGTAGATCCTGGAGAACGTCCAGGTTTGGGTGAATCAGATTGATATTGGCTTCAGCAAATATTTCTTCCCCAGATCAGGGGGAAGTGCATACTTAACTCTTTCCTGCAAATGCCAGCAGCACACAAGGGTGTGCATAGCAAATCAGGAAAAGTCCCTCAAGAATGGCTCAGGGCACTCCCCAGCGAATACCAAGCTGAGAAAACGCCCTTCATTCCTGCCTATCTCTCCCAGGCCATGGGTGTGAATTCCAGGACTGAGTCCATTTGCTGAGCGGGACATATTAGCAAACCCTAGACATCTGTACAAACTGCCCTCCATTTGTCAAAAACAGCAGTGCCTGGATGGTGCTGCTTGAATGATTGTGTGTGGATCTGCAGTAAGAGTCTCCAAGATATTTTGACTTTGTGCTCAAAAAATTTGGAAAATATTGCCACAAATTATCAAGTGATTGTTCCTCTAACTTCTACATTAGGATTTCAAATGTTTCAGGCTTGGATTATACATAAACTGGAAACTTCTCTTTTCCTGTTACTTTTTAACCAAGTAAAGCTGATGCCTTATATGATTTTCTGGTTTTAAGGCAGGTGTAGTAACTCAAGCCTGTAATCCCAGTGCATGGGAGGTGGAGACAGGAGGATCAGAAATTCAAGGCCAACCTTGGCTACATAGTGACATAGTGAGTTTGGATCTTATCTGAGCTATGTAAGACCCTGTCTAGAAAAGGGATTATTCATTAATTAATGTCTTGAGAAGATTCTGTAAAAGGTGGAGGAGAACAAAGTGAATTGGGTTAAAGAATTTGAAGAGTCTCACTTTTTACTTTGAGTCTTGTAAAACACGACCCATCAGGTTGTTTCAGCTGGTGAAGGCATTATTTTCATTG